ATAGCCGATTAAAAAAAAGCAGAAGGGACAGGGGGTGGAAGACATTGGGGCAGATACAGGTCTTGAACTTTATATCTGTGGCCTGGAGTCATCCCACTCCTGTTATGGCCCTACTCCTAATATTTGTAGTGAAAGAAACATATCTATAAGGGCTTTTATCCAGAGGAATTAGAAAGGAAAGGCAATTAGAATTGGGACTTTAGTGAAAGCAGAATGATAAAAAACCCTTCTCTCCTACACAATGATACTGATCTGGCTCACCCCTCTGTCCTATAGCATGTCAATGCCCAAATTCAGACTGCTTTTTGTATTGCCAGAAGTCCAAATGTTCCAGGGCATTGAACCTCATTCCTCTGCCAATATCTTAAGGGCAATCTGCAGCTAGGACAATGGGATATGTGTAGCAGTGGGGTTTTCTCTATTATCCCTCCTCATGACTGCTTGGAAGCAATGGAGCGGCCTCAGAAAGAATTAACATAACATAAATGTATTAGTCATTAAATTTGATTCACAATGAATAATAATCATAGTAGTAATATATTTACAAATAAATAATAAATAATAATAATATTTTTATTACCTTTTTCCATTACAGAAGAGAAATGTTGCAGATACTGTGAGTATTTTTCTTATTTATGAGCCTTGTGCTGGAAAACCTTTCAACCTATTGCACTGATTTTGAGTTGAACTGCAGTGTTCATATATATGCTCTGTGTTGGATTGCCTTTGTATTCAGTCCAGACATTGCAGATACTGAAAGCTGCTGCATGTTTAAAAGCTGCGGACATTGGCAAAATGGCTTCCAGTTTCACCTTGCAAGGCTGTTAGAGTTTTGTTTCATGCGTTAGGTGAAAAATTTATGCATAAGCTGGAACTGGCTCCAAGCTCCGTATCAAAAGATTCTACATGATTTCCTTTCATTAAGGTTGTATATACGGTAAGAACTATCCACCATAAAAATCAGTCTGCTGCATATTCAAAGATCAGATTGTAATACCTTGATATTGAGTTGCTCTTACTAGTACTGTGTTTTCCCAAAAATACGACCTACCCTGAAAAGAAGCTCCAGTCAGGTTTTTATGCATGCACCTAATATAAGCCCTACCCAAAAATAAACCCTAGGGAAGGGGGTGGGCATGGCCAGCATAGGAAGCAGCAAGTGCATGCGGGTCGATGGTGTCTGGCAGCAGCCATAGCCCATCAGATCCCCTGCCTTCTGCTCCATGTCTTCTGCTCTGCGCAACCCCACAGTGTGCTGATCAAGGCACCGATGGGTTACAGATGCTGCCCGATACTGTTGGTCCTCGTGCACTTTCCAGCTGTTGTGTGTGCACCAGGGGTGGGGTGTCCAGCCAGGCTGATCACCCTGAAATCACATTTCCCTGAAAATAAGCCCTAGTGCTTATTTTGGGGCCCAAAAGAAAATAAGTCGGGGAAACATGGTATATGCATTTATGCATCTACAGTATTTATATATATTAATCAAATATTATGTTTGTTGTGATAAAATGGAAAGTCTAATGATAGTACTGTTAGTCTTTTTTGAATGTGAGTAAATATTGAGAAATTCGATACATACCTATTGTTTTTTCTACTTCTTATTGTGCCATTAAAACTTGAACTTCTGTTTAAATTATACAAATCTTCTCAATTTGAAACTAATTAATGTCTTTCACTAACTCATCAAGTAAATGCTCATTTTCCAGAATACAGATGGCATCGATATCCAAAGCATGAACATTAATTCCCATATTACCTCTCGATTTGCTCATAATGTCATCACCAGTCGAGCCATCAACCTTGGCAATGCATCTAAGGAAGCCTTCTTTGATGTGGACCTCCCAAAGACAGCATTCATCACAAACTTCACCATGTATGTAAATCTATTTTCCCAAGCAACTGAGTTATGAACAGACATTCAGTTTGACCTTCACGGAGTTATTGCCCTAGGTGAAAACATATTTGGCCCTATAGTAGAAATTAAGAGGAAGGGTGCACCTTTATTTTCAACTTTCAAATATTTGAACTAGCTCAGTTTTGGAAATAAATAGTCCTTGGCTAGTCTCAATTCGCAAAGAGCCTACTCTGCCTGCCTGCCTATCAAATCTATACGCCAGCCATCTCACTGTAGAAATGATTCTGGGCAGTATACAATAAAAGAGACCTTAACCCCTCCCAAAAATCTACACAAAAATACATAGTGTTAAAAAGAGGAAAAGATAATTTTATGCATCCCCATCAAATGGAATGGGTTTTGTTCATTCCTAGGGTTCTGACTGATTACATGTCTAGTAGTAACTGCATTATTCTTTCATACTGTTGTAGAATAGGGAAGATTAATCTGCGACCTCCAGATTATTTCACTTCAATTCCCAGTAGCCCAAGTCCACACAGTCCAGTGAGCTGTAGTTTAACTTTTGGGGGTTGGCGACAAACTTCCCAGCCATCTAAGAGACACTCCCTTGGAATAACAAATTCACTATTTAAAAATAAAAATATAATCATATTTTTATTCTATTTGGCTAAAGAGGGTATCAAAAAATGTTTTAAATAAGCCATTGTCTAACTGGTTTCTTTTCTTGATTTTGTGGTTAAAAAAAAAAGGCCAACTGCTGTTTCTTTCTGGGTGCTGTCTAAAAATGCCAGTGGTTGACCATGGTCTAAGGCAGGGGTGTCAAACTTGACTTCATTGAAGGCCTCATTGGGGTTGTATTCAATCTTGGGGATCCGGGGTGGGCATGGCCAGCTCAATATGACTCATCAAGGTTCCGTTTTTGGCTGCGATGGCTTCCTGCAGCCCTCTGCCAGCAACAGAGTCTGGGTAGGGCTACAAGAGGACATCACAGCTGAAATCAGAGCCTGGGAGTGCCGCGTGTGGCCTCCTGATCTCCATTTTTGCTGGCAGAGGCACCATAGGCTT